ATATATATGTAGGCTAGATGTCTATGAATGTCCAATGTATTTTGTGCAAGCTCTCAGAGTAGAGGTGCTGAAAAAGACCAGGGGAAACGAGGAACAGGCCAAGTTTGAGGTGTTACTGCTTTTTTCATATAGATTTGCTGTTAGAGAAAAAAAGGGAAAGAAAGGCTGTAAAATGATTTTATTCTTAAACACACACACACACACACACAACGTATCAAAAATATGTGATTTGGATGAAACTCATTAGATTGTCGTAACTAGACTTTTCACAACAATAAATTCTTATTCCGCAGAAACATGGCGGGCGCCGTGAACGTAGAAAAAAAATGAGACGGAAAGACGAATAACAGCATCAATAAATCATTCTCGTCCAATTTTGTTCCCGGGAGATTTCTGATGGATGAAATTAAGCACTTCCATCTCCATCTCCCACCTGATCGCGCGCGTATAAATCCCAGCAGCTGATCAGCAGAGCTCAGATATCAAACCGACCCCGCGCGAGCAGAGACGGCAGCGGACACCTCTCTCTCCCTGCTTCAACATTAATAACAGCTCCTCCGGAAACGTGCTCGCATTTAAAGCAGCCCATTTTTGGAGCGCTTCCATTTGGGTCTGAGCGCACTCTACACGCGGGCTCCTGGAGGCGGAACTGCTGCTCCCGTCGCGCGCGCTGTCCAGTGCTGAAGTTGTATTTCGTCTGTACGGAACGGCTCGTGAACAGCTGAAGCGCCGGAGCTTCCGCGTCTTTCCCCACTCTCAGGTGTTTCACTTTCAGCCCTGCTGGACCAACTCTTCTATTTTGCTGTGGATAAAGCGAGGATAACGTGCTGGAAGAGGCTTTCCGCTCTGCGCTCTAAACATGCCAAGGTCTTTTTTGGTGAAAAAGGTGAAGCTAGATGATTTCTCATCCGCTGAACTTGAGAGCGCGTACGGCAGGTCCAGGACCGATCTTAGCTTTCGGATACACGACAAAGGTAAATGCAAAGGAATGCTTATGCGCTTTTTCGGTTTATTTAGCACTCCTTAACCTAATACAAGCAGAGTTTTAGATGCAGCCATAATCAAACACATCTGAAATTGCTAAGCATGGTTTTTATTGTTCATTTATGAATTAAACTCTGCAGGAAGGAAAGTAGATATCCAGTAGCAGGATGGAGTACCCCCGTGGCTTTGTTTGTGATTTATGTGAAACCATAATGGGAATGCAAACATAATTAGTGGGATTCCATCACTGAAAAGGCATGGTAACATTCACATGCAAGCCATATGAATATCTGCCACTGGTAACAACGCTTAACTTCTCAGCAACTTGGAGCCCAGTCACTTCCAGATGAGCTTAGGTGTTTGTTTATTCTGCAAATCAAAGAAACGCTTAGGGCAGCTGCACACAGCACACTGCTTATGGTGGTGCCTTTAGAAGGAGGGTAATTAATCTTCCACTGTAAAAAAAGTGCTATCTGTGCTCATACTGTAAGTCCATAGTAAATGTGGCATCCTTCACAGCTCCACGGTTTTGTCCTAAAATAACTCTGGAATAATGTGAAGTCAAGCTGACACGTATTCTATTAGAAATTTCCTGTAGTGAGTGGTCATTAAGTCTAATTATATTCAAAGAGAAATGCTGAATTTGTTAAACACATAATGAATCTCAAAGAGCACTGGCAGAATCTGGTCACCGGTCGCCTTTGCCAAGGTGGAGATAAATTGAGTGGAAAAGTGGCCATCGCATCGCCGAAACCCCATTGTCCTCACCCGATTCCCTTGTGAATATGAATAATTGAATAAAAGATCTTGTTCTCTCCACGCTAGGCTACATCAGTGACTACATCTCCCCATCCGTTTATGATGGAGAAATTGACGGTGGCACTAAAGTACCTTCTCCAGGACCGATTTATGACAGCAACCACAGTGACTATGGGGCACCTGACTCGGACCAGCCTGACAGCCCACAGTCAGAGATCACGTCCGGGTACATCAATGGCGACAACGCAGTGAGCGAAGGTTACACTGTGGATGCGTTCTTCATCACAGACGGCAGGTCCCGTCGGAAAGTGCTCGGTGGCTCGCCGACCCTCCAGCGGCACACGTGCAACGAATGTGGCAAAACCTACGCGACGTCTTCCAACCTGAGCAGGCACAAACAGACACACCGGAGCCTGGACAGCAAGATGGCCAAAAAGTGCCCGACATGTGGGAAAGCCTACGTGTCCATGCCAGCCCTGGCCATGCACCTGCTTACCCATGACCTCAAGCACAAGTGTGACATATGTGGGAAAGCGTTCAGCAGACCTTGGCTACTGCAGGGCCACATGCGCTCTCACACGGGCGAGAAGCCCTTTGGATGTGCACACTGTGGAAAAGCGTTCGCTGACCGTTCCAACCTGCGGGCGCACATGCAGACCCACTCCGCATTTAAGCATTTCAAATGCAAGCGATGCAACAAAACTTTCGCGCTCAAGTCCTACCTGAACAAGCACTACGAGTCGGCGTGCTTTAAAGGCGCGTTCTCGCCGCTTGCGTCCGTCGAGTCGTGACTTCCGGTCTGTAAGTGCTCACTCCCCCCTCAAATGTTAGGATGATTACACTATCTTACCCAGTTATGTCTCACAATCAAAATTAAACCCAACAATAGCACAATTTTTTTCTCGTAAAGTTGACCTTAAAGGAATATGGAACCTTCGCATGCACTTCAGCACCCATGTCCTCAAATAACGTTCAGACAGTTCACCTCGGCGCTGCGCAGTACTTGACTATGACTTGCATCGAATGAAGGTTTGAGTGACACCATGTTCCTCATTAAAATAAAACTCTTTTGTATTGTCAGTGGATGTTATCATACTGCTGCAAGTGGCCCAAACGTATTCACAATCGAGGTAAACCGGTATTAATTATTTATTTATATATTGTTTTTTTTTAATATATTTATTTTTTGTTTGTCAGATTCTATTACTTCATCTAGGATGTATGATTCTCTATGATGCACTGAAAGTGTGATTTTCATGTATTTATTTATTTTAATGATTCATTTGGCCTTTTTCTTACTCAATAATGTTGCCTTTTGGGTTATGCCAGTCTTATTAACATGCCAAAGCATTTAGATCCATGGTAATGATTTAAAAAAAAATTTTTTTTTTTTTTTTTTTGTATTATTTTTTGTATACCTACTTAATGCATGCAAAAAGAAAAGAAATCTATGCCAATACCACAAAGCTTATAATTTTGCCAAAATGTAGAGATAGTATCAGGGGGCAATATTTCTAGGGGTTCTCATAAGAATATATAAAGCAATAATCATAATGCATGGTATTTTTGAAAGTAATAAAGTATTACCTATAGCAGTTTTTTCTAAATCAGGTACATTTTGATCCAATACTCTTAATAAACATTTAAAAATACCACATCAGGGAAAATGCCAATGTAGAGTTTAGTGAGACTAAATCCATAAGTCTAAACCATCTTTCTTTGCTCTCTACTTATGCACTGCCTGCCTCGAATTTAAATGTAGATTTAGGATGTAGGCCCCAAGTGCTGTAACTCCACTCTAAGCAATTCAGAACCATTCTCTGGAAGTGTGGAACATGTAATGGCTTTTCTGAGGTTAACTCAAAGGGACACGCAAGGACAAGAAAAGGAGTGATGGGAAGGTGTACCATCTGCATAGCCGTTCTGTAATGCACTCACACTGCATTTCCAGCTCGGATCAGATACTTCATTTTCTCTGGTTTGGGTGTCCCTGAGGTTGAAAGCACTTCATTGTAGAAATCCTTAAAAAGTAGCACAAAAACCCTAGATTCAGGTAGATGTTACCTAGCTCAATCTTCCTTTTTTATACCTCGAGAGAGGAATAACAGCTCAGTTTGTGAGATGATCTTCATGTAGATACTTATTTGAAGAGGAAAAACCTTTTTACTGTAGATGAATCCACTATACCTGTTCAAGAAACAAACAAAAAATGTCCTGCAACTTTTTGAGCCAATGTTCAAATTATGTAAGCACAAGACACAAGGCATTTTAAGCACTTCATAATAAAGGCAAAGTAAACAAACCAAGTCTATTGTTCATTTGTCCCTGATTATTGCCGTTCCTCTGTGAAATTAGTCTATTAAAGAGGCCAATTAATCTTGGTGAATGAAAATCAATACACACACACTGACGATGCAACACAGGCCAAGAAATGGGATGGGTGAAAACCTGCTATGATTATTTACGGTTCAATATATCCACTCTGGCAGTAGCAATTGGTTGTTTTTAATGTAGCACCAAAAGCTGATATAATGGAAATAATGGAGTGGCGATAATGAAAGTCCAGAGGGAATAATTTCCACAGGTGCTGTGTTTCCTTCAGGGTGGCATTCTCGCCACACAATCTTTGTTGTATAAGAAAAACATGCACTTTTGTTAACTCAAATCAACAGGTTTCATGGTGACGCTGCAAAGCTGCATGATGCTTTTCCATCCTTACTTGTACCAATCAGTGTACACCACATAAATGTTAGCAATCCACATTATTAGGTGTTTGTTTTGCCGCTTAAAGTGAGGGATGCATTATACTTGAGTTTTGGTGACTGTGCATGCAAGATCAATTGCCTTTGTGTTAGGATGCAATCCGCTTCACAAACATGCTACGAAGTGCAGCTTTTACTGCAGTTCCATCTGTATCTGCTCAGTTCTCGTTCAGCGAGGAGCACCAAACTCTCCCACTCAGGTTAATCTAACTTGTGCAAACGAGGCCACCAGTGTCATCAATTTGCTGGGAATCATTATCCGAGCATTCTGTGCGTCTGCGCTCCGGTCTCCGGAGCTCTGGGTAATTGTGCTAGCAGGATGGGATCAGCAGGAGCCATTATTTAACCGGAGACAGCTGTGCGAGGGGCCGCACACGTTGATCTGTTTGCTGTTTCGTCTCTGTCTCTCTGCTTTAGAATCACAGCATCCCTTGAGTGATTCCTGCGTTTTTTTGTACTCTCCTTGTACTCCGGGGTCCTCGGCTCTCTGACAAACCCCATAACGCTCTCTCAAGTCGAGCAAGTTTACTTTTACAACACAGACTGAGCTTGATCTCAGAATAAACATTTTTAGAAGTGATTATTGGATTGGGTTTAGTCAAAGAAACTGCTTATTAGTGACATCGCTATTTTTCGTTCTGGAAAGTCAGAATCAATATCTATGAGGTTGCAATCAGCAGTGGCTGAAATTGTGCTTGTGTCAACTGATGGATTAGATCAGAAGCTATTGAAGCAAGCCTTGTACTCAAAAACACATAGACGGGTCAGAGAACAGTATTCATTAAGAGTTTGTTGTTTGTTGATGTACTACTACTAATAGCTGGCCAGTATCTGTACATGCCAACACTCATAAGAAAACATCACTGTAACAGCTTTTATCTTGCACCAGCAAAACACCTCTTGTACTGTATTTTAAGTTGGGGTTTTTTTCTAAAAATGTTCAAACTGGGTTTTTTTTCTAAATGTCAAAAGCTGCATTATAATCCACTGTATTCCTCTGATAAAGGCTACAGTATTAACCTCCTGAAGCCACAAGCTTTAACGGAGGAGTTTAAGTTTTGATATTCCCTGATAATCTTCCCCTCCGCTATTGCACTTAAATCTTTAAATATTCAAATTTTGTTACCTCAAGAAACATTATGACGTTTAACAATGTCAGTTGCCGTTAGCTCCTGTGTGTCTTGTAATGGACTGTGATATGCAAGTTTGAAGATCTCTTTTAGAATGAGATTTTAGAGCTATAAATTGTTTTTCCCCATGCATATTTCGCAATGAGTTCAGACTGATTCTGCGTGTCCAAGCTACTTGGTTTGAAAGTGACTATGAACTGTGCTTTATGCAATAGAAAGTGGACATGTTTTGCAAGCAAAATTTCGCTGACGTGACCCACACCTATACTTGTTTCACAAAAACCCAACGTCCGTATTCTGTAAAACAGGTTGTATTGCTTCCGATTCAGGTCTTTTGTATATGCTTTGTTAAATATAGGGATGTTTTAATCAAGATGCCTTCAAAGGAGCTGCAAAAGATGAGCATAACTGATGTTATATGCAAACTGATATCTAAACGTTTTTTTGGTAACACTTTAGATTAGGGAAATCTTTTCACTATTAGCTAGTTGCTTGTTAGCATGCATATTACTAGCATACTGGCTGTTTATATACAGTACATATTAATGCACGACCATATTCTAGATCCCTTAACCCTACCCAATACCTAAACTACTACAACAACTACCTTACTTACTATCAAAAAGCAGCAAATTAGGAGTTTATTCAGGGAAAACTCTTAGTTAATAGTGAATATGTGTTCCCTAATCTAAAGTGTTAGCTTTTTTAAATTTTTCTTATTCTCTCTAACATTCAAATATAAAAAATATAAAATCAAATAAAACAATCAATAAAAGGAACGGGCTAGGTTAGCTGATTATCTTAAATGTCCACACATATCTCTGACCATTCATACTGCTGTTAATATTTTGTCCAACAAGTGGATGCGATGAGACCTGTTTTCCGTTGTATGCTGCTTTTTCTTAGTGGAAGCTTTAAGATAATACACTGGGTTGATTATGAAATAATTTAAACTCACAACAGTATGTCATCCAAGATTTTACTTGTCGCAGTGACATAAGTGGGATAATGTTTAGTCAGATGATCATTATCACAAAATAAACCCCGACGAAGAGTGATATTTCTTACATGTTGTGTAGTGGTTGGTGTTAAGGGCTCAAAAATATCTGTATAGTAGTACAATTTAAATAATAAATGTAGGCTATAATATAGAAACAATCAAAAACCTTGGTTAAACACACTTCGGTATTTTACACCACGTGACAATACCCCAAATTTGCAGAGATTTTGATGTTTTTGAGTTGAGAATTTCACGTTTTACGAAGCAGAATGAAAGTCCATGCAGTGATGTTCCCCTTATCAAACATAAAGTTCCTTTAAAGCAAGGTACTATAGAAGACATATGTATCCTCCACAGTATAGATTCATAGTACCTCAGCTATCTGTCACATCCTCTCTTTCTCAGATATGTTTCCCAATTCAGCGATTTCCATTCTGTTTTTATCCAAGCAGCTTGTGTCTTTTTAGTCGTTTTAATAACATACTAATCCATATCTGCACTTTCTTGCAGCTCAACCATGACACCTGTAACATAAAGCATACTGTTCCTTCTGATTCTCTCGTAATATAGAGAGGGTTTGCTTCCCTAGTGTTGTGTAGATGTCCATACTAGTGTAGGTGGAGGTCTTGAAAAGCAATGTCTGCAGGCAACTTTGCTCAGACACACTTCAGTAGCTACAAGTAGCAGCCGGGCGCTCAGAGAGAGAGAGAGAGAGAGAGGTTTTTTATAGCTGTTGCGCAGCCACTTGAGAGTGTTACTTCTGATGAGAATAGACATTGTGAAATGCATCGTCTTTATGCTCTGTGTTTGTATGTAGTATATACTTAAAACATATTTAAATGTTTAAAAACATTTATTTTAAATATAAAATATTACAAATATATTAATGTTTCATTTTAAATTGTTTGAAAATATTTTTAAAAATATTTAAACATTTATTAAATTGATTCCAGTGGATAAAAATAATGGCTTAGGCTGAAACAG